TGTAGTACTAATAAAATTAATTTTTAAAAAAATTTAAATAATATGACAAGGATTCAAAGAAAGGAAGGGAGAGGAGGGGAAGGGAGAGAATGAGGAAAGTTTTATCATCATTAAAGGAAGTAACTACAATAGAAGTCAAGTGGGAAAAAAAATATGGAGACAAATTTGAACTATTCCTTAAGGCAACACTGAAGAGAAATACAAATTAGGACACTGAACAAGGAAGTTACATGAGCCCCAGATACTTTGTTGTACCTCCAAATGATACTTCCAGCGCAATCCCAACTCCTGTAAGATACTGGGCTCTATATGGCACTCATTTCCTTCCATACTTTGCAGTCATCTGGCTCTTCTAGGAAGTAGCTGCCTTCTAGAGCCCAAGTCACTCTCCTCCTTCATTCTTTGACCAATGAAAAGGCGGCTTATTCTATTCATTTGTTCACAATTCTAATTACCCTCTGTACTGTTCAAAGTATGCTTTCCAGAATGCATAACAAAGTTTTAATATTCAATAATGTGTTAAGACTGTTCTCCTTTTCCTAATAATCTAGCACAGTAATGGCAAACCATTTAGAGTTTTCAATGATACAAAATAGCCCATCATGGCACATGTTACATAAGCATACCATCACTGGTTTAGAACTTGGTTCTAGTCTTTGTACTTCTGATTTTCATGTATGTGAGCTAGAGAATTATTACTTGACATAAATATGAGTAACCATAACAAAATATTTATAAAAACCTACAAGTGATTAGATTATTAATGAAGATGGATGTGAGAAGACTAGACACTAGTGTTCAAACCTAGAAAGGCTGACTTTTGGTATAGAACAAGGATTGGTTTTTAAAATTAGACATTTAATTGTGTATACTAGCAATATCAAAATTCTTCCATTTTTCCCAGTGCATCAAAAGGAGTAATATGTTCTTACTTGCTCCTCATGGATAAAATACAGAACCTTAAGTAACCCAATCATTTTACCTCTTACCTGCTTTAGCAATTTTATGCATACAGTCCAGTTAGTATAGTGTACATACTAACACTATGATATTGGTGCTATTGATATATGAACGTGTCTGTGTGATATCCTTCATGAGGAATAAAACTGGAATAGATGGTCTTTATATCAATCTGATAAAAGCTATTTTGGACAAACCGACAGCCAACATTATACTATTTATTGGGCAAAAACTAAAAGCTTTCACTATAAAGGATGTCCACTATCATCATTCTTATTCAATAGAGTTCTGGAAACATTAGCCAGAGCAACTAGACAAGAGAAAGAAATACAAGGGATAAGGATACAAAAGGTAGAAGTTAAATTATCATTATTTGTGGGCAATATGATACTATACATAGAAGACCTGAAAGACTTACAGATTTAATAACCAAATTCGGTAGTGCAATTGAATACAAAGTCAACATTCAAAAATAAGTAGCAATCCTATACACAAATAATGAAGTCACTCCAAGAAATTAGAGAAACACCACCTTTCATAATAGCATCCTAGGAATCAATCTAACAAAGGAAGTAACAGATATTTATATTGAAAACTATAGTACTCTGATGAAGGAGATTGAAAAGGACATCAGAAAACTGAAAGATATTTTTTTCATGGGTAGGAAGAACTAATATAGTGATAACGCCATATTTACAAAATTATTATACAGATCTAATACAATCCCAATCAAAATTCCAATAATGTATCTCAAAAAATTAGAGAAAACAATCCTAAAATCCATTTGGAACCAGGAGAGACCTAGAACACAAAAGGAACTCTGGGCAACAGAAGGCAGTAGGTATTTCAATCCTTAATTTGAAATTATACTATAAAGCTACTGTGATTTAAAAAAAAAAAAAACTACAAGAAATACAGACCAGCAGATCAATGGAACAGATTAGAAATGTAGAAACAGCTCCAAACACACTCAGCCATCTTATCTTTGAGAAAGGAGCCAAATACCTCCACTAGAAGAAAGCCTCTTTCATAAATGGTATTGGGAAAACTGGCTTTCCACGATTAAAACTAGACCTGTATTTTTCACTATGTACTAAATTACAATTGTTGCCAAATGTCCCTCAAAGGATTAATATCTAGAACATATAAAGGAACTCAAAACAATCACATCCCCAAAACGTAAAGACCCAATATAAAAATAAACATGTGAAATGAATACATGTCTCAGATGAAGTAAAATAACAAATAAATATATGAAAAAATGTTCAACATCACCACATCTTGTACAGAAATTAACCACTAGGAAGAATGTATGCGATGTGTTAATTACTGAAACCGTCCTACCAATTTGGTTTGAAACTGTCTCATTGCTATTTGTTTCTCAATAAAATTATGGGGGGGAAAAAGAGAAAAAAAATCATAAAAAAATAAATGTCCCTTGTAAAAAAAAATAAGATGCAAATTAAAACAATGTTGATATTCCATCTCATTCCAGAGAGAATGGTTGTTATAACAAATCAACCAATAACAAACGCTGCAAAGGCTATAGGAAAAAAAGGACTATTTCTCTACTGTTGGTGAGAGTATAGACTGATGCTGTGACTGTGGAAATCACTATGCAGATTCCTCAAAAACAGAACCAAAAAAAAAAAAAAACTAGAGGTTTTCTTTCACCCAGCTATTCCCCTTCTTGTTATCTTTCCTGAAAGAATTAAAAGCACCACAGCACTGTGATATTATGTATACCCATGTGTGTAGTAGCACTGTTTTGCAATAACTAAATCTTGGAAACAGCCCAAATAGCCAACAACAGATGAATGGATAAGGAAGATTTTTTTAATACAATGGAGTATACTACTCTGTGATAAAGAAAAATAAACTGCAAACATTTCTAGCTAAATGGCTACACCCTGAGACCATACTCTTAAGTGAAATGGAACACACATGTTTAATTACAGCATTGTTTCTCTGGTATAAGAAAATCAAACTGTAAATAAGTACCATTGGGAAATGGGGAAAAAAAGTGTTAAATAGAGAGGGGAATATGTCAGGTGGAGTGAGAAAGGAAAAAATGGGACAAAATTAACAACAGAATAAAAAAAGTAGAAAGAAAGTTTTTGTAAATAAGGAAGGTAAGACTGGTTGAAGAGAGGAGAGGGAAAGGGAAGATAGGGGATTGTGAAAAAAATAAAAAGCAAGATGTCGTGTAGGGCTGGGGAGATAGCTCGGCAGACAAAGAGCCTGCCTGTAAAGTGCGAAGACACAGGTTCAATCCCCAGTATGGCATGCCATGCCCTCCCCAAGCCCCAGATGCTCCATGCCAGCCACCAAAACAGGAGTGGTGGCTCATGTCTGTAATTCGAGCACTGGGGAAGGAGAGACAGAAAAATCACTACGAGTCCAACAAGACCCTGTATAACAAGACCCTGCACCAAATAAATAAATATTTTGAATGATATGTCACTTACAGGCACAAAATTCCTATGATGAATGTTATCATTATTTCTAAAAATATACCAATAAAATTTTGAAATGCAAAAAAAGAACTTAGCAAGTTTATAAAACATGTAAGACGGATGTCAAAAATAAGACCAACAGTTTTTTAAAGCTCAGCATCTTTAATACATCTTATATGGCTTGCTATCCTAACCACATCTTTTTTAAATTATAATTTTCTTTTATTGTGAAGAATAAAAATAAAAACAAGAAAAACAAAAACACAGAAAAAGGGTAACATACAACAATCATATCTTATAGATTTTCAAAACAAGAAGAGCTAATTAACAATTGATATATTACCTATTTTTATCATCAAATCTGTTGCTCAGATTAACAGATGTAGTTATCCAAGATTGGACATATTGAGTATTATGGTATGCTAATCACATCAAGGTTTTATGAAGACTTTGTGCCTGACTTTTAGCATTTATAATGCCTACAATGTTTGACACTTAGTGGGCTTTCACAAATATTTCTTCATTGGTAATATTTACCATGATTATAATCATTGCCATTACAAAAGAAATTTTTCTTCTGCAGATCACAAATCTTTAGTAAGCCCACGAGTATCAAGTAGCCTATGTGTCAAAACTATGTTGATTAGAGCACAATATTCAGACATGTTTACTCCCTTTAAACTATCACAGAGGTTTTATTTGCCCTTTTCCAAGTTTTATTTGTACTTGTTATATTCAAGAAGGTGCCAAAAATAACAATTAAAAGAAGAGTAATGGTAGCCAGCACAGAAAAGAGGCGTTCTGCTAGATAGGAACTGGAGCTATCTGCTATCTAAGCAAGAAGAGCCTGTCCTTATCTTTTTTGCTTAAAAATTCACTAGAAAAGCAGAATGTCTGTAAGCCCTCTACCCATAGTTAATAGATTATTCAGAACCTTGGCTGCAGATGCCACAGAATTACAAAAGAAATAGAAAAGAAACTATTAATATGTTTGTTTTTAGAAAGAATTTTGTGAAAGCAGTCCACAATCTTACATGCTACGAACACTTTGGATCTTACTCCAGAAAAGTAATTTGTTCAAAGAAGTTCAATTGGGGCTGGGGAGATGGCTCAGTAGAGTAAGTTCTTCCCTGGAAAACCCAAGAGCCTGAGTTCAATACCCAGTTCTGAAAAAAAAAAAAAAAAACAAAGAAGTCCAGTCACCTACCTTGAAGTTCTCCACTCCGACTATAGAGCTCCCTTCTCTGTTCTCGCAGATAGGCACTCATACTGATAGCATGGGAAGATGATTCAAATCTGCAATGAAACACAGGATAAATAAGTGGCCATTAGCAACAACTCAGGTGGAATCTCAGTTTGTACTCCAAAGAGTCTTAGAAAGGCCTCTCCTGGTATGTGTGATATACCCTGGTTTTCCAAATTCTTGACATTTTGGCTAAACTATGACAGGGCTAGAGAAAGTTGCCCAGACATTTATTTATAAATGATATTCCTCACTAACAGTCCTCTTCCACAGTATTGGATAATTTATATATTCTCCATTTTCAACTGGTACAACTCTGACTTGACTCAACTTGCCTTTGCCTTCAGACCATCATCATCCTTTGACAGGATTCCCACACTCAGTACCAAGAGCATGCTTTGGACATTCTAATTTTGTTATTATCCAGCTCAGACCTCAGCATGACTACTAACTGTCACAGACATAGTAGGCTACTCCAGGGGGAAAACGCTTGTCTTTCTAACTCCCCCACTTCAAATACCAGTATACATACATTAATGAAAATACTACTGAATAACAACATCAAAGCAAAGCATATTTCTCTCCCCAAATGTTCTAAAAAAATTATGTTTCTAAGAGGCTGCTAGTTTTTTAATCTGCCACGTATCCCTCAGAAAATACTCTCAAAAATACAAAGACATCAAGTGTTCATTCACACCTAACTAGAAAAAATTATTCAAAGGTCAAAAACATGGGAAACAAACTCACAATAAAGAACAGTCACTAAAAACTAAAATAATGAACACAAAAAATAAAAAATAGTAATAAAGAAAAACTTGAAGGTTAGAAAAAAAAATCAGGTAAAATGATGAGATTCCATTTGAAAACCACAAGTTCTACAAAGACAGAAAAATGACAAAAGAAGGAATCTTTCTATAATTCTTGCCACTGAGGCAAGAATAACAGCAAAATGAAAGAACAGAAGTGACAAAGGCATAGATCTCAAGCAAAAGGAAGAGGCATCATAATTTTTGTAAATTATGTCTTCTTTATCCATTCATTAAGAAGGAAGATGAATAACTAAGATTGAAGTCAGTGTATAAGGGAAACATTTGCATTGCTTGATCTTCTCTCTGCACCCCACCAAGAACTAAGAGGCACTACCAGCTGGATGAAAAGCAAAGTGTGCCGTATTTCAAAAGTGCCACCTGCCAGTCAAGTGCAGAAAAGAAGCTACTGACCTCTAAAAAAGCATGCTGACAGCTATTGCTCAGAGATGGCAAAAGAAAATAATACATTCTTGAGCAAAGAATACAGACATACACATTGTAAAGTAAGTGAACTTAAACACAATTAACCTTGACTAAGGACAATTAAAGAGGGTAATAAAGTTCTTTACAGCAGTAATAAAAACAGATCACAGCTCTCCAAAATCTTAATCCTTTAGGACTTGCTGTATTTTTGCTACTCAAGAATTTGTTTTATATGGCAACAAGTCACAGATTGATATAATTTTTAGCAAAAGAAACACTAGAGGTTATTCAGTCACACCTCCTTATTTTATAGCCAAAGGCACTGAAGCAGGTAAGACAGGAGAGCTGCTCAGGAACTCACGGCTAGCTCATTAATAGTAGAGCCAAGACTAGAAACAGACAAATGTCTAATAATCACCTAATTCTCTGTCAGTGACACTATTTAATGTGTGACAAATTTATTTTTTTCATTTCCAATAATAAGTGTTTTCATCCAATACCACTTTAGAAGCACTGGTTAAATGTTTGAACACATATAAAAATCCAAGATTCTAAGGTAGAGGTTAGTTTGGTTTTTATCTAGATGTACCTTGAGAGCTGTATGCAATCATAGGTGGGGCATTCAGAGAATCATGTGCATGTGATGCTCATAAGTGAATGAGCCCACTTATGCACTTGTAGCTGAATATCAGAATTTGTAAAGCCTGGATGGTGGGGTAGGTCATTGGAGGTGTGGCCTGGCAAAGTCCATCTCCTCCCTTCCTCCTTTTGCTCTCTGTTTTTCTGCCGACACAATATGAACACCTCTCCTCTGGTATGCCTCTCTGCCTAGCTACCCTGTCTTAGAGCCAAATAACTATGGATGGGAAGCTCTACAAACTGTAAACCAAGAGACCCAGTCCTAGCCCAGGTCCGGTGAGTGTGCAGAGAGTTTCCTGCTACCCTGCGCCTGCGGGACCAGTCCCAACCCAGGCACAGCGTGGGCTGGACCCTCTCCCAGCCCCTCGGGCCACCCCCCACCACTCCGCAGT